CAAATGCTAATTAGTTCCATCCGCCTATCACTGAGGATATTTTACGTCCACACTGTGGTCAGCACTGCAAACCGGGTCAACTCAATAGGATCCCCTGAACCACCAGGGGGTCTTCTTGTCTTCTGGGTGGGGTTTAGAATTAAAATGCTATGGAGTTAAACATTAATAATCGTTATCTCTGAATTGGGTCGACTGTTCAATGCCAACAAGCAAACAAAAATCAATAAATAAAAAATTATTAATGAAAAGCAGATTATAAAATTAACACAGCAGAATTTCTAAAATAATGAGAGAATCTGTACAAATAACTGCTGAAACATCTCATGGATTTACTATGAAATTGATCAAACTTGGCCGGTAATCAAAACATGAGCGATTTGATATTCGTAGGTCGTAATAAAATATCGAAATATCAAAATTTTAAAAACTATGTAAAAATTCATGCGTTTAACTGTTAGAAAAGTGATTAAAAAGAGTTGTTAATTCACGACTATATAGACACTAATGGACATGTGCCAAAAAGTTATTTATTCGAAATTCACGTGCCTTTATGATATCGTATTAAAAATATCAAACCATAGCAGTAATATAAATTGACGATGAAAATACAGTTCAACAAAAGTGATTACTCAAATGCGAAATTTTCGTGTCGTAATAATCTCGTATTTAAAAAAAAAATTGAATAAAAAAACGCACTTGGCTCGATTTTATCTTAGCAAAATAATAATAATAAAACGCAGTAATTATTAGTAAAATAATAATACAGTTTCAAATTTGGAGGGGGGGGAACTAGGGACGAGAGGCGCAAAAATTTTTATTGGCTACCAACATTTTTTCGAATTCATGGAGCCCTGGACATTGATATATAGTTTAACCAAGTCAAATTAAAAATAAGATTATCTTACCGAAAACTCTCTGAATACATCGAATACATCCTAATCTCCTAACTAATAAATTAAAAATGAAACATCTCTCATAATCAAAGATCACTTTTTCATCAAATGAAATTTTTCAGTATTTTTAAGTCACATTAAGACTACAGTTTCACATTCTAAGATAATTTTAAAAAATTGATTGAAAATAAAGAAATGAAAACAGGTTTTCGGCTTGTCTTGTTTGTTTTGCAACTCAATGTAAACAAACGTTATGTCCGGTTTATGATACTTTTGTTCAGGATATTTCTGAGAATTTTCGGTTTTAACAACGAAAGATTTCATTCAAAATAAACTTTAAAAAAAATTTAAGTGGAATTTGAAAATGAGGATTCCAATAAGTGAATTCAAATCAAATTTTGGTACTGTATTCTAAACGCTAATTCAACGATTATGTCACAATTCCTTTGTTTATTGTTATGTAATTAGGACAGTATATTTAGAGGGCGTTAAACCATTAGTACCCTAACAGCAATTCGTTAATAATAATTTTCGTGTTAATATTAAAAGTATAATATAATACTAAAAGTGTAATATCATCTGGACAAATATCATAAGATAAAAGAAATAAATCTACCTTGAAAATTAATATTTAATAGGAAAAAAAAATCGTTAATTTTTTTTCAATAGAAAAAAAAAATTTTAAAAATTTTTAAAATTTGTAAAAAGAAAACACAATTATAACAGCAATTTTATAGTTGAACAATACAATAATACTATTTTAAGTATACGATTGTAGAAACATCGCCCCGTCCCAAAAAAAAAAAAACTTAGAACCAGAATTTAAAAGTCAAAATTAGAATTTCGACTTCTAAAATACTAACAAATCGGAAAAATACAAAATTAATTAGTAAATAAATAAATGAATTAACATTTTACTTCTGAAGACTAAAAAAATTACGACATGAATTTGGAAAAAAATTTAAAAGTAAATAAATAATATTTAAATAAAGAATGCTTGAAAATAATTTACGATAGAAAATAACTCATGTGAACTTATACACCCCTATTAAAAAAAAAAGAAGAAGAAAAAAAAAAGGGAAATGAGAGCGTTTCAAAGCATATTAAAACCAAAAGTTACTTTTGTTCGAGGAGAGTTAGAATAATAAATTTTGAGACTAGCTCCCTTTCATTCTCCCCCACAAAAACAAAACAAAAAATGGTGTTTTATAGTTGGAAAAAATATTTTTCCCGAGCGAAAAAAGGTTTTGTCTTCCATTTTATATTAATAATATAATTATTTTTGATCTGGTCTGAATTATAAGAACATTGCTTTTGGTGTAAGAAGATATGCACTACAATTTCCTTATTCATGTAGTAAATGTTTTTCACATTTCCTTTCGAAAATCAGCATCGATGGCTAAGTAAACCAAGTCACTTATTCATTAAGAAATAAATTAAAAAGAAAAGAAATATACAGATTTTGGAAACAAGAGGCAATTTCATTTAAATTGTTATAGTCTTTTTAAATAAAATAAAAAAAGTTAACCGTTAAATATTGATCAATGAATATAAAAGTAAATGAAATCATCTAAACGTAACTTGCACAGAAAAAAAATAGCGATGATTTCATGACGATAATCAAAATTTATATCTGACAAAAGGATAATTTTCATAAAATACGTCAAATTATAAGTTATTTTTATATGGATTAAGATGAAACATCAACTTACAGCCCGAGATTTCAAGATAATATTTTAAGGGGCCTTAACAATTTTTTTCTTGAGTGAAAAACGTAAAGTGATAAAGGTACATAGTTTAACTATTTAAATAATTTATTGATAAAAAATAATATATTTCGTTGATTTTTTGAATTTTTCATAATTTAAAAAAAAAAAAAAAAAAAAAAAAAAAAAANAAAAAAAAAAAAAACAATTTCGAGAAAAGAAATGTTCATATTATTTGATATGCTTTTGAAATTAAAACAAATTTTAAAAAAAAAATTTCAATTTTTCTTCCGCCATTCGAGTCTTAAGATATGAACCCAAATTTTTTTAGAACTTTTTTTTTTTTTTTTTTTTAATGAATTGTTACTTCAAGGGGTGAAAACAGTCACATGTCAATATCATTCACCAAACATCACATGACGATCACTCGAACAGGCTTCCAAATAGATAAGCTATAACTGCGGATTTAAAAACGATGAAATAACGGATTGCAAAGCATTATGATTCACAATTCTCACTAGACTTGAAAAACAGCGGAGAAGAAATAAAATAATTGCAGTCTAAGACAACAGTCGGATGTAAACAACTTGCATACCGACCAAACGGCAATAATTATTATACTTCATTTATTATTGCGAAGTTTACAAATAACATGTTTGCTTTCTCAATGATATGAAATTAATTAAGCTATTTTGGTTTCTTTCAACAGAAAAAATAAATTTAATTAAACAGATAAAAACGTAATTTAAGTTCGTTGCCAAACAAAATTCATCTTTACAGAAATTTCGAATTAATAATAAAATAAATAATAATATCATCATCCGTAATTTCGACTTAAGGTCGATGTATCTTTTAGTGACAGTAGAATTTATTATCTTTCACGACAATTTTTTATTAAAAAAAAAAGAAAAGAAAAAAATCGTTTTATATTTGAATATCGATGACATTTTCTTTCCTTAAACCAGTGTTTCCCAAAGTGTGGTACGCGTACCCCAGGGGTACGCGTTCTTATGCGAAATATCTCACAACAAACGAACATTTCAAAAAGTTTTACTTTAAAGCAAAGCTCGCCATGAAAATTTACGAGTATATATTTTTCTATTGGCTATTTTTTGCTGAGTTAACATTCAATTAATAGTGGTGACGACAACCAGTTGTAATTTTTAACTGCGCAATTTTTTTTTTTTTTTTTTTTTNTTTTTTTTTTTTTTTTTTTTTTATCATAGCAAAAATAATATCTTTCTCACTGATGCAAATTAACTTATTAACAAAACTTTGTACCAAAAAAGAAAGAACAAAAAACATAGTTTAAAAAAAATACATTCATTTTTTATTAATGGTACACAGCGTTGCGAAAAATTTAGCAAGGGTACATAAAAGTCATAAGTTTGGGAAACACTGCCTTAAACTAAACCTTAATTAATGCAGCATACATTCCATTTTAGCTAAAAATGGTATTTGATGCTAATTACTTGGGAGGACGAAATCTACAAATCTTGAGACAAGGCAAAATGCAAAAACGAATAACATAAATATATATTTAAAAAAAATAAAAAAATCTTCAAAACAAAATGAAATTTTTTAAAATTTCATTATACTACTTGTTAAGCAAAACAGAAGAGTTATAACTAGATAGATGAAATGGGTATTATTAATTTGGGTTAAACGGGCTATAATTGAAATCTATAAACGATATTACTAATAAATTTTTAAATTTGATAAACAGAATTTTTTTTAAAAATTTTTACAACTTTTATATTTGCTAATAAAAAAATTTATTTTTTTTAAATGTAAAAATAAAAATTTTCAAAAGACTGTGGGGGGTGCCCATAAGCCATATTTTCCGCGTTACGACCCTATTGTTATTAAGTCGCATATGGGAATAAAAAAACAAGGGGAGAACAACAAAAAAGTATAAAAAGTGAAAATAAACTGCTTGTGAGATTGACCTTCGAAATTTCTTGTTTTAAATATTTCATATACTATAAACAAATTGTTGTCTCAAGTAAAAAAATAAAATTTAACTTTGTATGTTTAATATCTTACAGTTTATTTACACAAGAAAATTACGAAAAAAAGTCATATTGAACATCATTAAATTACGGCGAGGATTAATGGAAAATATTTTACAAATTTTCTGGTTAAATTTCAATTATAACGAAGATTATAAATCGAAGTAAAAGAGGCACAACGAAATTATAATTTACAGTCTTATTATTTATTATCTTAGACTGCTAATATATATAATTTTGATAATTCAATATTTTTTAAATAATAAAAATAAATTAATGTAAACAACTTTATAAATTTTTTCAATCTTAACTCCTAAAACTGCAAAAACTCTCTTGATTAATAATAATAAAAAAATGAAAATAACTTAAAAGTAAATAAACATATATACCTTTCTTCAAAGACGGGATTCTCTTTCAATATATATCTCGAATTTCCAGGAGGTATAAGTCCCAGACTCTGTAAAAGTCTCTTCCATATATCAAACAACCCAATATACATACTTTTCTTTTGAGAAAAAAAAACTTAACTAAAACTATAACTCTTAAAAGTGAAATCAAATATTCATAATATAGTTATGAAATCACGAGATCCGAAACATTCCCGAATCATCCTCGATTGGAAACAAGGTGAATCGGTTTTAGAAAAACGATGTTCAGAATCACGCGCTCTTTCTACTACGTATACGCAAAAATCACACACATTGTATTCACTCATACAACAAAACGCACATCACGGCCGAATCTTGGCACAACGCCAAAAAAATCGGAGTTCCACAACTTGGCGCAATTATCTCGAATTTGGCTAAAACTCTGCGCCCGTCTTATCGGCTTTGTCAGAACACATGGTTTCTTTTTCGTAATGAGGGAGAAAGGGATTATTTTATAAATAGGATTTTATGAGAAGGGATTACATAATGCAATAAAAAGCTGCGGATGAGCGATTGCATAATAATTTGGGACTTACCTCGTTGTGGAGTCCACACCGGCACGTGACACGTCGTTCGCCGACATTTGAAACGTGGGCTCTCGGCTGGACCTACTGGGGAATGATCGATAGAACGATGGTAAGATCAAAGCGCCGCCTCCACGCCCGGTTTTCAAAATAATTTAATTGTACAAAAAAATAAATTATATTTGTGAGAAAAACAATAAGTTTCAGTATTTATGAGAGCGAGAAACCTATTTAATATTATCATTAATTATTAGTGCCATTAGTAAATTTTTAAAAAAAATCTAATTTTAAGAACTAAAAAACAAATTCTAAGCGAAATTAGGGAACAAAAAGAGCTAAAAGATTTCCGTATAAGTTCGAAAAATTAACAACAATTTCCGTTATTCTTGTATTTGATATTATTCCCGTTTCCAGCGACCTTAAGGTCGCAAAATAATTACAAAATGATTTTACGACTGTAAAATAATTACAAAATGATTTTAAAATAGTTGCAATTAACGTCAATGATGATTAATTTTGGTAACAGGTATTACTCCGATAATTAATTAAGCATCAACGGCGTCAATTGATAGTCGATTTTTTACTGTTCCCCAAAAAAGGGGCTCATAAAATTTATAAAATATTGTTGGAAAACTATTCGTTACATTCGTCTCTCTTATATCAATTTATTTCATCTAATTTTATATATTTATTTATTTTTTTAAAAAAGTTACGTTTGACAGTTAGAGAAGGAATTCTATTTCGTTAGAAAATAATCCAATTGCATGAAGCGTTTTTTAGAATCCTAATTTTCAATTTGGAACTTTTTCTTTCTTTCTTTAAGAGAAACAAATAAATTACTTACATCAGATTTCCTTGTAAAATTTAACCCATTAAGGCTCTAAAATATAGTTAAATCCACTGTAGAAATATTAAACAAGACCGTGAAAGAGATTGGTCAATGACCTTTGTGAATTTAAATGTAAATAAGCACGCGCAAACACGTCGATAAAAGAAAAATTAGGTGAACTCGGAATTTTCAAAATCAAAACAATTAATTGATCAGAAAATGACAATTATAATACGTAATTTAAAAGTGAATTTTTTTCAATGTTTTACAAGTGATTGTTTTTTATTAAAACCAAAAATACATAACTTTATTGATCATTATTTTCCGTAATATTTTAACAATTTTTTTAAACGAGAAAAAAATAAGAATAAAAAATTACATTTAAATTTTCTTTTCAAATCGTGACATATTCGGAAACATAACACAGAATAATCAAGTTTTTAAAAAGCATCGACTAGTAATTTTAACAAGAAACATAATATCTTTAATTTTAAGGACGATTATTCGAAACAAAAACGCAAGCGATGGTATTTAATACAAAAATAAAGTTTATAACGATTCTACAAAGCCAAGCTTCTTTCAATAATCATAAAATAATTAAAAAAAATAGCAATAATAATTTTTACTGAGCCGCGGTGGCTCAGGGGGATAGAACGTACGCCTCCTAATGAGGTGCACCAGGTTCGAAACCCAGGGGTGGGTGACACGATTTCTGCTCCCAGCTCGCGCCGCCCACAGTGCTGACGTAAAATATCTTCAGTGGTAGACGGACCATGGGTTAGAATGCCCTTGCCGTCGGGCTAATCATATTAGGTTTTCGTGGTTTTCCTCTCCATGTAACACAAATGCGGGTTAGTTCCATCCAAAAGTCCAAAGGCTAGTTTCGCTCATTGCTTGATCCAGAAGTTTCATTGTCTTCTGAGTTGGGTTCAAAAATACAATTGAAGAGTGATAGTTGTTAACTCAGAAATGGCTACATTTCCACTCACTAATAATAATTTCTTTAAAGAACTAAAATCAAAAGAATAACAAACGCAAATTAAAATCGAATCATCAATTATAATCAAATATTTATCAATGATTATCAAAATAGGAAAATTTCGGATCCCATTCACATAATAATATTGACGATTTGAATAATTAATTACCCATCTCCAAATCAATGATCGAATATCCTCGTTGCCAGGCGGCCAGACGCGTCGATCGTAAGGTGGCATTCCAAAAATAAACTACATATATTAATAATTCCACTAAATGACGCGTGTCTTATATAATTGGTCGGACGAACTGCAATGGCCATACGACTGAAATATGACGATTAGTAAAAAAGATATCTTTAAGTCACTCATGAGCTGAGAACGTGACATACTACCAGCGATTGGGAGATAATTTAGTAACGATTAAGTCGGTCAGTTGACAATGTCCCGTGCAAGTTTTTTTCTTCAGTCATAAGACATAATTTCTATTGAGTTCTATTTTTATTTATAATCTGTTCTAATTCTATCGTCCTTCCAGCACAATAAACGCTTTAAAAAATTAAATACGAGGAATACGACTTTATGGCTGGAATAAATTTTAAGAAAAACATCATTTGGGTTTTTTTTTTAAATATTATTTCAGTTTATTAAGGAAATTAGCATCAAAATAGTAGTGAAAGTAGAAATGCAACATTATTAATTTATTCTTTTTTAACTTAAAAGAGGGTCATTTCAATTGTTGACTTAACCTTTCAATAAGAAGTTGATGTTTTATTTTTTTTTTTTCTCTCTCTCTCCATATTTGGATGCTTTCTAAGAATCGAATGCATCCTATTCAATGACACTAATAGTAGTTATTTTAGCACTGTATGGTTAATTCGCAAAATAAAATTCAAAAGTTGGCGGGAATAGCAATGCGAAATTAAGTTCCATTCAATATACTCCAGTTACTAAATTTGATCAAATTCTATCTGTATTCTCTAAGCATAAGCTAAGTTAGTCATCACAATTGCGTCAAATCACCTAAATAACAAATTTGATAAATTTTAATAACTGCGTGGAATATGTTAAGCGAAGAACCATAAAAATAAAACAAATTTAAATTTTTATTCTATAGCAATGCAAATTTTTTGCTTCAAAGAGGGAGTCTTTCATGAAAAATATACTATAAGGAGCTAAAAAATTACATAAATATTAATTTTTATTTATTTAAGATCAGTTACATTTTACAAAAATTTACAAATAAAACAAAAAGAAATCCGTTTTCGTCGTTTCAAATCAGCATTTACCTCCGACAAATTGTTATTATCTGACAGAAAAATGTATATAATGTTCTGAAAAATATTAACCTTAAATAATCGGGAATTTTATTTTGTAAAAAAAAAAAAAGTAAAAATTCAAATTCATGGAGATATGGCTAATGGCACAGAAGCCGGCTGTGGCTATAACTGCACTAAACAGAAATCTTACGGACTCAAAATAAAACGACAGTAAATATTATGTATAAGGACCAAATTGAAAAGGAAAAAAGATCATTCGAATCTTAAAAAGTAGAAAGTCAACTTAAGAGGGGTTAATAATTTTTCTTCCATGAAATAAATAATTAGTTGCTCAATTTTGAAAACAGAAGCCTTACATTAAAATTTTATTCACCTCCAGTGAAATTCGTTAATTTTGAAAAGCGATGTCTCATTTTAGACCTTCATGCTCTCGTTACTCTTGTGTTTTACAGTAAAATGGTACTTCGAAAATTGCAGGTCCCAAATTCCAAATTTATGGGCCCGTTTTTATTAAAATGGGTTCCTATTTAATATATAAATTCTCTACCAGGCTATACATCTATTAATATGCATGATCAAAATTATGTTATCTATTAATAGATAAAACAAAGAATTTCAAAACAAAAAAAGAAAACAAGCAAATATTTATATAATATTTGGGCCGAGCTTTCAAGCAAGAAAGGATATAATTTGACACACAGAATAATAATATTTTCTCCTTTAGTTATTAATAAAGAGAATTTTTATGTTTTTATTTAGAGTTAAATTAAGAACATATAATTGTTGGCGTGTTTTTCCCCGAGATGAAGAATTTATAACTTATTTATCGCTTTTTTCCATCTAAAATTTTTAGTGTGTTTGGCGCGTAAAAGGAATCACTGATTAAAATTTATTCTTTGCACATTTTTTATCTTCATTTAAACATACTTTTTTAATTCATTTTCGATAAATAAAATTTTATTCACTAACATACAATCATTTCTGTATTCCAAAGCGAAAGAATAACAAAAAACGACATTATTTTGAAAATATTTCCCTGGCGCATTGACGTCACTCGATATGTTTCGCTCATTTTAATACATTTTATGTGCTTACGTCATTCGAATTTCACGAACTCGGTCATAACTTTTCGAATCAATGGTTTGGTTTCATTTATAATCTACCCACGAATTAACTCGTCTCGACTGCTTTGTTCTTTCGTCATTTAATCTCAAGACTGAAAAAACATTAGATAGATACGTTTCTTACGCTCTTACGTTAGCGGTTAGAGCATCAAAGTTTCCGACGCCATATAATTTTCTCTCCTTTCAAAATAAATAAATAATATTAAACAAAACAATACGAAAAGAAATAATAACAATGAAATAATCCATTGCACATGGTATAGAAATCTATATAATAAAATTTAAAGAACGTGAAGAATTTTTCCATCTCTCTTTATTTGGCGAGCAGAGAATTGAAAATTTTATCCGTCTAAAAAACAAAGATTAGTCTGGTCCAAAACAGGAAATGCATTTTTTAACGACGGTAATCACGTGTGTAAACACTGAAGCGCGTGCTTGCAGCTTAAATAAAGGAGGTAAAATAAAAAGTAAAAAACTTCTCTCGCATGACCACAATGAATTGTAACTAAATGCATTTGAGCAATCACGAATACACTATGAATAATTTATTAATACACCACGTTAAATGACAAATAATTTACATTTTAAATAGCTGAAATATTTTTTTTTCTTCTTAATTCCTTTTATCCAAATGTAGCTTAATAAAATTTCATCATGTTTTTTTTCTTCCAAAATAGTTTTA